GCCGTCTCAGTGCAGACATGAGATTGGAAACCTCACTGTTCCAGTTAACGACGTTGAACTCTTTCTTAACTCTATGCAGGGGACCGTGTTACACCCTCTGAATCAACAACTCTACTCGGACCTTTGCAGGCTTGTACCTCTCATCTAACTCTTGAGATCTCCTATGCCATCCATGTCCCCTACGGTACAACATCATACGTAGTAGGGGGTATAAAAGAAAATGAGTTTATTGCCGATCCCCATACCAGCACAATCCACACAGCCAAGGCCTATAACTACACCAAAAACTCTATCATTCCAGCTTCATGTCGGCGTGCTGCAGGTTCTGCCAGCTCTCATCAAGTTCTATCTATCATAACACATGACCTAGGAGAAACGACGCCCAAAACGCGGCGACGAAAGCCATCCCAAACGTCGTGCAGTCATATATATGTATCCTCACTCCGTTCCGCCCCGGGACGAACCAAAAAGTGTACCCAGCCCCGCATCCCCATCCGGAGATGACAGGAAATCCAGGCCAAGAAAAAGAGCAGGGGAGGAAGATTCCCCGGGTATCCCTAGTAATAAATAAATAGCAGCTGTAATGCTTTGCTTCAGCCCCTTCCCCAGTCTATCCATCCATTCCGCCCAACCCCATCCACCCACCCACCACCCAAATCCCCAACCCCCAGCCCTCACCATCACCATCACCACCAGCAAGCAACCCAACCCCTTCCCAGACCGGAGCCACTCGTCCTAGCAACCCCCATCCCAGGCCGCCACCGAGCACTCACTCACCAACCCCCAAACCCGGGACTCCCCGCCCGCGTGGGATTCCCACTCGGCGCCGCACTCCCCATAGCAAAGCTCTGGTCAATTTTGACGATCCAATCCATCTTATCGCGCTCGCTGCGCGCCGCAAACAGCCAGGTATTGTCGGTCCCATAGACAGCAAACACCCCCGCCTGCAGCCGCTCGCTGAGCCTGCTGATCCCCCCACCACCGCCTCCACCGCCACTACCCGCCGAAGGCGTGCCATTGGGGCCGGCACCGTTGCTATTGCCGTTGGTATTGGTATTGTTACTGGGGGTTGTTGTTGCCACCACCACCACCAGGCCAGAGCGAAGCAATCAACCCGCCCCCGTCCCCGCCTTGGCGGCAGCGGGGTTGGGCGACCGCGATGGCGACGGCGACAGCTTCTCTTCGGCGGCGTCCCAAACTCACTACTGGCATTCACCATTCACACCAGAAGCATCATATCCATCCCTCCCAGCATCCGACGACCCGCCCCCAGAACCAGACCCATACCCGGACCCAACACCCCCACTACCCGAGCCATTCAGATTCAACAGCCCCAAAATCCCCGGCTGGCTGTCCACCCTCGCATTCCTCAAACTCACAATCCCGACCTCCTCACCCGCCGCCACCGAGTGCACATGCAGGTAGGGGCGGCGCAGCTCGACGAAGCGCTTGACCCAGCGGGTGGCGTCGGCGTTGGGGACGAGCAGGTAGCCGCCCTTGAGCACGGCCGGGTTCTTGGGCACGCGCACGACCGTGGCGATCGACGTCGGCTGCGGCGGTGGGGCGGGTGCAGGCGCGGACGCGGAGGGGGACGAGGCCGTCGTGTCACCGCTGCCGCCGGATGGTGGGGCCACGCCGTCTTCGGGCGGGTCCGTGTTGCGGGGGGAGAGGATCTGGAGGGAGGGGTCCGGGTAGCGCTGCCAGAGGTTGACGCAGCGGGTTAGGAGGTGGGTTTGGTGGTTTTGGAGATCGATTTGTTGTTGGTCGGGTTGTGGTTCCTCAGGTGGGGAAGGAATGGCTGGGTTTTGTTCTCCGTTTGCGGTCTCGGAAGGTTGTGGGATGTCGTCGCCCTCGGTATGTTCGTTACCCTCCGTAGGCTCAGGGGACGCAACCGGGGAAGGTTCGGGTGTGTCGTCCTTGAGGAGCTCCGCAATGGAGTCGGCATCAGAGTTTATGGGCGGGGGCCGAAGCTCATCGCCTTCGGGCTCTTCAACGCCGTTGGTCTCATCCTGGAAACCGATTTTCTTGAGGAATGTCTGAACCGCCGCAATCTCAGCCATCATCCGCCGCTTCTTCCGCGAGCTGATGTAGTCCGCCACAAGGGACACGCCACGCGGTGTCCAGGCGGTCAGGTTCTCCTCGCCCTTGACGTAGTCGTGTTGGCTGTTCATCCGCCACAGATCGCCCACCCGCTTGATGGGCGCCGGCCGCATTTGCAGCGTGAAGATGCCGGTGGTCGAGTGGACGATACGGACCTGCTGGAACAGTGACGAGAACATGGACGTCTGCCGGATGAACGACCGCGACAGGATCTGGCAGCAAACATTCATCGAGAACTTCATCGGTTCGGCTAGCTTCTCAGAGGTGATCTCCCACGACACGGTCATTTGCACGCGGTACTTATCCGCCGTGACCCGGTCGAGGAGCAGCGACTTGTGTAAGCTGGAATCCCACTGTCCAACCACGACAACGCTTCGGGTGCCGTTCGCGTTGATGTGAAACAAGGGCTCGGCAGCGAGCTTCAGTGGAATATCCGGAGTGACCGAGCCCATGTCGGGCGTCTTGCCTGCGCTGTCCAGCAATTGAACCTTGCCGACGCGCATGTCGGCGACGTCTTCTCACGGGAGAGC